TCCCAAGCTGCATTGCCCGGGGCAACCCTCAGCACAGCCAAGGCCACAACCCTTCCTGAAAGGTGTCCCTTCTGGGCAGGGCCAGGGGGACAAACCCCTCCATCTGTCCCTGCACATGTTGGGTCCAATTCTCATCCCCCACTTAGGGACAAAGTCAGCCTACATTGGGTGTTTAACTTTGCATTTGTTTCACTCTTTTGTGCTTCCAACACACACACACCCCAGTGTGGGCAGAGTGTGGCCCCCCAGAGAACACAAGACCTGACTATTTGGGGCTCCCGCTGCAGGGGCTGGAACTTGGGCCACGATCTGTGCCAGGAGCAGAGAGGTCCCTCCCCACAGAAACTTCTTGGCAATGGAGTTATTAAGAAAATGGGACAGGCTGTGGGGATCACTTGCAGGGCACAGCCAGGGATGTGTCTTGACCAGCCTTCTGTTTAACATGACCAGCTTTTTCAGCCTCTTTGCTCTCTGGTTTCTCATACTTGTTCCTCCAGAAACAACTGGGATCCTCCCCTTGCTTTGGTTCTTTCCTAGACATCCCAGGACAAGTCTTGCCCAGTCTCCAGAGATCCTTTCTGGCTGCCCATCATGAGTCTCAGAGCCTGAGGCTGAATCCCCCATCCTCAGCTGCAAGGTCACCCTGAGAGCTTCTGCCATTGACCCACTTGCTTAAAGTTTCATACAGACACCTTGGAACTTCCTCAGAATTAATTTTTTACTATTTGGGCTTAGAATGGCTTCTTCAAAAACATGGTAATTCATGTCCTAGCTATAGAAATTTTTTGGAGAAGGACTTTGGGATATTAGACTCAAAGAATGACAGAATGGTTTGGCTTGGAAGGGACATAAAAGCTCATGTGGTCCAAACTCCTGCACATGGATAGTGACATCTTCACTAATTCAGGCTGCTCAAAGTTCCTTACCTTGGACAAATCCAGGGATGGGACATCCTCTTCTCTGGGAACCTGTTGCAATTCTTGACAGACCCACTGGTAAATATTTCTTCATTTTATCCAATATGAAGCTCCCCTATTTCAGTTTAAATCCATTGCCCCATATTCTGCAACTACAGGCCTTGGTAAAATGAATCACTGTGACAATCTTAGACTATGAGCACAATGTTTTCATCTGCAAACACCTTGGAGAGTGCTCAGAGATGTCCCTAAAAAAAGTTTGTCCCTACTTTTCTTAGAAGCCTCTGTGGCGGTGCATCCTCCCCCCATTGTCCTCAGGCCTGGTCGATGATCTCAGGAGCTCCTGACAAGCCTTGACCAAACCAGCTGAGCAATGAACTGTCCTTGAACGGGAGCAGGGGTGTGGTGAAGTGTCCCTGTACTGTAGCAGGGGTGTGGTAAAATGTCCCTGAACTGGATCAGGTGCTCCTGGATGATACAGGTGGGAACAATCCGGAGTGGAACAGCAGGGGAACACAGGATAATCAGTCATCCCATGAAAGCCTTGGAATATTCCCTGCCTGAATTGTAGCCCAAATGGAACGGTTTGGACATAATTCCCAGATATTTTGGAAATTCCAGTCATTCCTGACACCAGGAGGGAAATTCAGCAGATAACTAAAGCCAGTCCCCTTGGGAGCCCACAACCAGCGGGGCTGAGGGAGGCCCTGGCAGCTCCCCAGCACCTCCCTCTCAGTGGGACACCTCTGGCAGCCTCTCCCAGCTTGGGAACCCTCCAGTTTGCAACACTCCAAAGACCCTCGCTGGTGCCCAGGACAATTCTGATCCCCCTCCACAAACACTCCTCCAGCTGTGACCCTGGTCTGGTGGGAAACACAGAGGGATTTGTGGCAGTGTTTCCCTGACAACAAGGAGAATCTGGGAGAGGGACCTTTCCACAGCCAGCTATTGATGTGTCCACACATCTCTGCCTGGGTGTGGGTGTGAATTGACTGTGGTGGGAATGTTGTTATTGGGAATCTATAATTCAATCACTGTTAAAATTGTAGCACATGCTATTGAATCACTTGAAAACTGTTCCATTGGTCAATGTTAAGTGCTAGTAATGTCTTTTGTCCCTTTATCTTTGGATCCAATTCGTTTGTGCCCTGACCCTCTTGCATCCCAAGGCTCTGTGTAAATCATTCCCTTTCATCAAAAAATATATATTTTTCATGACTTTCACTTTAAAGTCATCCTCCTTAGCTAAACTACAAAACAACTCCAATTAGCTCTAGAAGTCTTGAAGACTTGAAGACAAATAAAGGCATGAAAATAATTTGTTTTTCAGTGTTTTTATGGGCCCCACAGTGTGTTCGGAGTTGCATCAGCTGTCAGTCCAAGATGGGCCATGTCAGAACTGGTGAGGTTGGGGGGTGAGGAGCAAGGCTGATCATACAGGGTCAGTCTGGATCTCATAAAGGGCACACTCAGCATCAAGATCACTTGGAGAACACCTCTATCACCTCTCCTCTGAACAGAAAAGTATCCATAATTGAATTAAAACAAAAAAATTTACAAACTTCAAAGACCTGTTTTGAAATTGCCTTGAAGACAATTAAAGGAAGACAAAGAGATCCTGAGGGATATCTGGAATTTAATGAGCCCCACGGTGTGTTTGCAGCCCAGCCCATGATCCTGAGGTACTGAGAGAAGATTGAAGCAGCTGCTGAAGAGGTCAGAAGCCAAAGTCCAAGTGCCTTGAAGCATTACTGGGCCCCACTGAGGGCAGGCACTGCCAAAGCCTCCCCAGGGACTCCTTGGAGCAGCTCCTTGGAGGCCAGGAGTGCAGGCAGACAAAGGCTCTGGGCAGGCCCCTGCAATGCTGAGCAAAGCCTGCCTTGGTTTTGTGGAGCACAAAGGCCAAGGGCTGAGCCCCAGGCCCTGGCCCAGCAGATCCTGTCCCTCCCGGCTGGCTCAGGGCTGTTTGGGGGGCACTGGGATGGGAGGGGGAGGAACAACCAAGGCCCAAAACTGGGCAACCCCTGCCAGGCTCCTGAGGGAGGGGCGAGGCAGAACCCAAGGGCAGAACCTGCCAGGAAAGTTGCTTGTGGTGGCCTGAGTGGCAGAGGCAGCTGCCAGAGGCAAGGGGACAAAGGCCTGGGTGCCTTTGGGCCTTGCAGCCCTGCCAGAGCCCTTGGCCATCTCTCCTGCAGGCTGTCCTGCCCTGGCCCTGCTGCTGCTCTGGCCTTGCAGGCTGCACACACCCCTCCTGCTTTCCCACCCCCTCCCACCAGCATTTCTAGACCCTCCCTGATGTCTCTGCACCAGCTCTGGCTCTTGCCATGTGCACTTGGCCTTCTGAACTTGGATCCTGAGCCCCTGTGCCACAGGACATCCCTCCCTGAGCCCAGGCCCTTCTCCTGGGGGTCACTGCAGAGCTGAGCAGATCCAGGTCACCTCCCATTCCTCTGCCAACCCCCTGGGCCTGCTCTGGGCCCTCCAGGTCCTTGCCCTGCTCCCAAGGGCTGTGGGGGTGCTGAATGGTCAGGGTTTGGGGTTTAGAGCTCAGGGTGGGGATTAGGCAGAACTTTGGGAGGTTTGTTGTTCTGCTGGCAGTGTCTGGTTCATGATTAGGGGAAGAGCTTTTTGGTCTGGGTCAGGATTAAAGCTTGGCTTTTCATACTGGTAATACAAGATTGGGAATGGGGTGGACATTAGAGGACAAATAAGAGTCTGGAGTTCTGGGTTTGGGCTTTTTCTGGCTTGGAATTAGAGCAGTGGATTCCTTTCCACGGGAGGAGCAGCACTTTTGGGTGGTGTTGGGGCTTGAGGTTCCAAAGTGCACAAAGGTCAATCAGAAGTGTTTGCACAGTTAGTGTTTCAGCACCCTCAGCATTCCCTGAACCTGGTTTTTACCTCATCCAAATATTTCCCCTCTGTTGGCCAAGCCTCTATTTCCTTCCCTAATTATCTTCTCCCTTTTGTCCCAGTTCCCCCTAACCTCCTCAGAACTTTCATCAGGATGGGCTCAGCTGTGTGATGATGCTGTGCAACCTCATGGAATCAAGGAGCCACTGTGGAACTGCAGAACCTCATGGAATTATGGGGCCATTGTGACTCTGGGGAAACCCATGGAATCAAGAGGCAACTGGGACACTCCAGGGCCCCATGGAGCCAAAGGAACCCAGGGACAGTGGGCAATCTCCTGAAATAAAGGGGCCACTGTGACACTGCAGAAACCCATGGAATCAGGAGGCCATTGTGGCACTGCAGGGCCTCTTGGAAACAAAGAAACCCTGGACCACAGTGGAATTTCATGGAATCAAGAGGTCATTGTGACACTGGGGAACCTCATGGAACAAAAGGAATCCAGGGACTTCTTCTCCATACCAGTGTTGGGAAAAGACCTCAGCCTTGAGGAAGTGCCTGGAGGGGAACCCCTTTGCTGCTGGAACTGCTGTTGTGGAGCCCAGCCCTGTCCCAGCAGTGCCCAGGGCCTGTCCCTGCCTGTGCTCACAGGCCTGACCCACAGCAGGACAGTGACTGAGCTGCCAGAGCACTCAGGCCTTGGGCACGGACAGGAAAGGAGAGGGTGGGAGTGCAAAGAGAGTAGATCTGAACAGACCCAGTGCTGGTGCTCCCTGGCAGTGCTGGGACTCTTTTCCCCTCCACATCTGCAAACATGGAAATGCCCTCCAGCTTCAGGGGGGGTCTTGGAGGAAGAATCTGGAAAAAAGAATTTATGTCATTTCTTACACTCAGAGATTGTGATTCCTCATGTACAAACTAAAACAGGGAGGATGTTTGACAAATACCTTGCTGCACAAACTTTTATTTTGTTTTAAATGCACACAAAGCATGATTTCTGATTTGTATATTTTGTGGGTGAAAAAAAAGAAGTAGAGAGTCAATTATATGGGATGAAGAACAAAATTTCAGTGCTAATGACAGGAATAGAGGGAAAAGACAGGGAAGCCCTCCACCCCAAACACTATCAAAAGCTTTAGAAGGCAGGCTGGGCCCCAAATGTGTTACACAATGAGTGTTCTGCAGAAGAAAAGAGGCAGTTTATTGCTTCTTAAAAAAACATCCAGTCATCATTTTCCTTATGGCATCCTTGAGCTCCTGGTTCCTGAGGCTGTAGATGAAGGGGTTCAGTGCTGGAGGCACCACCATGTACAGAACTGACACCACCAGGTCCGTAGATGGGGAGGAGATGGAGGGGGGCTTCAGGTGGGCAAACGTGGCAGTGCTGACAAACAGGGAGACCACGGCCAGGTGAGGGAGGCAGGTGGAAAAGGCTTTGTGCCGTCCCTGCTGAGAGGGGATCCTCAGCACAGCCCTGAAGATCTGCACATAGGAGAAAACAATGAAAACAAAACAGCCAAGTCCTAAAGAGATAGTAAAAAACATAAGTCCAATTTCCCTGCGGTAACCTGAGTGTGAGCAGGAGAGCTTGAGGATGTGTGGGATTTCACAGAAGAACTGGCCCAGGGCATTGCCCTGGCACAGGGGCAGGGAAAATGTATTGGCTGTGTGCAGCAGAGCATTGAGAAACCCAGTGGCCCAGGCAGCTGCTGCCATGTGGGCACAAGCTCTGCTGCCCAGGAGGGTCCCGTAGTGCAGGGGTTTGCAGATGGCAACGTAGCGGTCGTAGCACATGATGGTGAGGAGGAAATACTCTGCTGAGATGAAGAAGACAAAGAAAAAGAGCTGTGCAGCACATCCCATGTAGGAGATGGTTGTGGTGTCCCAGAGGGAATTGTGCATGGCTTTGGGGACAGTGGTGCAGATGCAGCCCAGGTCTGTGAGGGAGAGGTTGAGCAGGAAGAAGCCCATGGGGGTGTGCAGGTGGTGGTCCAGGCTACGGCGCTGAGGATGAGGCCGTTGGCCAGGAGGGCAGCCAGGGAGATGGCCAGGAAGAGCCAGAAGTGCAGGAGCTGCAGCTCCCTCCTGTCTGCGAATGCCAGGAGGAGGAACTGGGGCATGGAGCTGCTGTTGGGCATTTGATGTCTCCAGTTATTGTTTTCTGTTGAGGGGAAAAAAGGCAGAACTGAATTAGGCCAGACTCAATTAGCAAAATATCTTGCATGTCTCATAGCAATTCAACACTCAGGGCCTCTTTTCAGGAAGATCTCTCTGCATCCCTCTCCCTGAGCTCTGGGTTTTGCTGGCTGAAGGGGGCACTGAGAGCAGGGACCCTGGAATGGGCTCCCGAGGAATCCTTCTTGCTGTGCAGTGAGAGGCAACTTGGAGCACAGGGTGACCTCCAATTAAATGCACTTGTGATGCATCAAAGTGTTTCCAGAACTGCTGGTCACAGTTTGCCCAAGCACAGAACACAGAGAGAGGATTTGGGGGACTTGATTTTGTTCCAGTTCCTCTTGCCAGGAGTGAGTTTGGATGGTTGAAATTTCTGACATTTCTGATGTGCTCCAAGGGAAATCTTGTGAGTCCTGAGAGGCAAAGGGATGGTCTCTTGGTGCAGAGACAAGAGCTGGCCATCTTTCCTGTTCACAACTGCCCCTGGTTGGCAGCTTGGAGCTGAAGGGGGATGGCCCTTAGGAATTCCCTGCAAAAAGAAACTAGGCACTTCTGGGAGCAGAGGAATCCTGGTTCAAAGATCAGATTGACAGAATCCTTGCCTTTCCTCAGGATGCCTGATTAGGATCTCATCTCTATACTCCCAGACTGCCACACACAGGGATCATTGCAGCTCCCAAGTACGGCTGCCCAGAGCATTTCCATGGATTTAGCACTGAGGAGTTTTCTCCATGGGGATCCTGTGCAGCACAGAGATCCTATGGCAGAGCTGTGCCCTTCTGGAGGGCACCTGCAGCCCTGCAGGACACCCAGGCAAACAGCTGAAGACCCTGAAGGTGCCTGGAGGGCTCCCCCAGACACATCCCCACAGCAGCACCCAAAGGGTTTGTGTCTGGACAGGAATCTGCCCCCCCAAACCCCACACTGGCTCAGAAAAGCCACTGGTGAGAACAAGGAGAGCCCAGGCAGCAGGGGATGGCAGTGAAATGCCACAGTGCTGCTGCCAAGGGAGGAGGGACACAGAGAGACAGCTGGAAATCAGGGCCCTGTCCTTGCCTGGGCTCTGGCTGCTGCAGGGCAATGCCCAGCCCAGCCCCCGTGGGCCTGAGGGCACAGGCTCTGCTTAGGCTGGGAAAGGAGCCCAGGCAGGAGCTGCTCAGGGAAGGGGTCTGTGCCACAGGGACAGCAGGGAGGGGCCCACATCCCCCTGCCCAGCCCTTGTGGCAGCAGCTGCCTCTCCCTGCCTGCCTGTCTCTGGGTGAGGAGCTGTTCCTGCCAGCAGCCCCTGCCTGTGCCCAGCTCAGCTCCCTGCCAGTGCTGCCAGAGCCATCCCCAGCCCAGTGCCAGGGGCAGCTCTGCCTGGGCAGGGGCTGCAGAGCAGATCCCAGACAGCCTGCGGTGGCTGGGAAGGGGGAGGTGTTCTGGGGGGATGTGCTTCCTGAGAAGGGCCCCTGGAAATGGAGGAGGTGGAGCTGAAGCTGTGAGGAGCCCTGAGCCTGCAGCTGAAGGGCCCTGCCCAGCCCTGCCCTGCCCTGAGGGGTCACTCCTTCCACCCACCCCTTCTCCCTGCAGGGCCGTGGCAGCTCCTTGGCCGGGCTGAGAGCTGCCCCTGGCAGGCAGCAGAGTCCCTGCCCCAGCACACAGAGCCCTGGGGGCAGGACCCTGCTCTGCCCCACAGCCCTGGGCACCCCTGGCTGCACCCCCACCTTCCCACCCCACAGCCAGCCCTGCCACAGGGAACCTTCTGGCCCTGGGCCTCTGAGGGGGCAGCAGCAAGTCCTGCTCTGCAGCAGCTTCTCCTGCTGCACCCCAGCAAATCCAGCAGAGCCATCCTGACAGCTCCTGCCACTGCTGCCATTTGGCAGCTGGGAGAGGCACTTGCAGGAACTCACCTGCACTGCTCTGCAGCCACAGCCTGAGCGTGGCAAAGGACTGGCAAGGTTCCTGCCCTGAGCAGCTCTGCCCTGTCCTCCCACCCCAGGATCTCTTGAACCTCCTGCTCCCTTCTCCTCTCTGCCCTTGCTGCCTGCAGCTCCTGCCCTGCTCTGCCATATGGCCACTTCCCCTGCACTGCAGCAACTGGGAGAGTCCTGCTGAAAGATCCTGGAAGCTGTGGGATGTGGTAGCTTTAGGAGATGCCTCCAGGAAGGCAAGTTGAACTTTCCTGCAGCCAGAGAATTCTTAATTCAAATGCTGTGAAGGTTTCTCACATGGTGAGAGCTCAGTCACGTCCCAGTCCAGGCTGCCTCTCATCTCTCTGCCGTCTCTCCTGTGCCCTGGGTGCTGCAGGCAGTGCCCTCAGTCCTTCTGGGCTGTGCAGAGGAGCTGCTCACCAGCAGAGCTGTCTCTTTGAAGCTCTTCTTGCTTGCCAGGAGCTCCCTGTGTGCCAGGAGCCCGGCCCAGCTCAGCAGCACAGCAACAGCCCCAGGCATTTCATGACCCTCAGGGGGTTTCTCATTGTTTACATGAGACTCAGTCCCTGAGAGGAAGTTCAAACAACTTCTCAAGAAGTCAAAATGAGATTGAAACACTAAAGTTTCTTGTAGTACTAATGAGTCTCACTGAGGGACACAACTGAGACCGTGTCCCCATATTCCAGTTAGAGCAGAAAAGTGCAGACAGTGGTGACAAGGATGGACAAGCAAGGGAAAGGTGGCTCTGATGCTGAATAAACCTTGACTTGTTTCCTTAATCCAACAGACCAAGCCCTGACCCCCAGCCCCTGGGAAGGCAGACCCTGTCCCTGCCTCGTTCCTCAGGGCTCTTCCTGGGGCACTGGGATGTGGGATGTGCAATGCCAAGGGCAGGACCATGGGGTGGCACCTGCCAGGCTGCTGAGCAGGGACAAGGAGGCCATGAGGCCCCAGGGCTGCAAGGGGCACTCCCCTCCTCCTGGCATCAGGGGCACAGACAGCAGCCATGGCCAAAGGCCTGCAGAAGGTGGCTGTGTCAGGGCCTTTCAGCTTCTCCCCCTCCCTGTCTCCTCTCCAGCCCAGGCTGTCCTACGGTGTCCATGCCCTGCCCCTTTCCCTGCAGGCTGTCGTCATCCCCCCGGCTGCCCCACCTGGCTGGCACCTTCCTGCACTGACATCTCTGCGTCCTCCCTGGCTCTTCCTGCACACACAAAGCCTTGGGCTCATCCAGACTCCTTCTTTGTGACATATTGCACCACAACACTGACCTCAGAGGGAAATTTCTGACTTCTTGTCACCAGCCTAGGCCACCCCAGCTGCCCTTGGTGGCACTAGTTCTTTCTTAGGCTGTTTTCTGACAGGAAGAAAAGCTCCACCAGCTCTGACACTCCCCTTCCAGACCTCTCAGGCTACTCCTCTACTGTCCTCAATCTTCGCACCCCTGACCCCTGAGTCCTCAGCCTCTATATACGGGTCATGTGCTTGAGGACCCAAATCCCTTCCTGGGAGATCTCTGGGACCTCTCCAAGGTTTTGGAAGATGACTATAGAGTGCTCTTATCCCAGGAAACACAGAGGGACATGTTTTTCCAAGGGTTGTCTTGGCAGAATGAGGCACAATCTCTTTAAACTTTCTGTCACAAGGGAGCTCTGAGCTCTGGGTACGGAGGGAGGTCCAAGTGCCAACCACTGGAGTGGGAGCTACAAATCATCAGGTCTGGTGTTCTTTGGAGGACCAGACACTAGTGAGAGTGGTGTGTGTGTGTGCACATGGAAGGACTTGAAGGGCACAGTGAACTGTCTCAAAACACTGTCAAAGCAGGAAAATCCCATAAGGCACCACAACACATAAGCACTGGTGGTAAACAGGAAGGCCTTTAATTCCAAGGCCTAAAGGGAGGTGAAGCTTTGGAAGTAGCCCCCAGGACAGAATTGCACTGTGCAGAGTGTGGGAAAGAGCAGACAGCCCCAACAGGAAGCCAGGGCTGGTAAGGCAGGTCTGGGGAACCCATCCAGACAAAGATTCCCACCTGCAGACTGGAAGCACAGCAGGCAAAACTCCCACCGTGGCAAGCTGTGGGAAAGGAAGCAAGTCCTTGTCCACGTGCCAGCCCAAGCTGTGGGAACAGCATCTACCCCCCTGAATACCCGGGGCTTGGGCTGTATAAAAGTGATAGCCCAGAAGCACAACTTGGGGACCCTCCACCGAGCAGAGCAGGGTGAAGAAGGACTGGTGGGAGCCTCAGGGATCTCCATGGTGTGATACATTTACTTCATCTCTGTCTCTCTCTCACTGGCTTCCCACCACCCCCTTCTTCTCTCTCTTTTTATTTCTTTCTCTGTCTCTCCCTCCTATTTACTGTTAAATCAAAGCTGGACTGCTGACTTTGGCACATGGTCTCCTTTGCAGCTGAATTTGGGCAGAGGTGTCTCTTAATAATGGGAACCTGACAGTATCCATGAGGTTTTACAGGATGGGAATGGCCACTAGATTCCATGAGGTTCTACAGAGTCGCAGGGTCCATTTGGCTTCGTAAGGCTCTGCGGTGTGATAATGGACCCTTGATTCCATGAGTTTGCAAAATGTCTCAAGACTCCTTCGGTTCTAGGAGGCCCCACATATCACAGTGGCCCCTTGGTTCCATGAGGTTCCACAGTGTCACAATGGCCCCTTGATTCCATGAGGTTCCACAATGTCACAAGGATT